ATAATATATCCAAATAATAAGTAATAAATAATTAATCAAATCCAAACCAGCAACTTATCTCCAGTAGCCAATTGAGTGCTTTCTGAATTGGAAGTCTCATCTTCCAGCATTATCTCTTATTTCATTTTTGACTGTCTCATCAGAGGATTTTCATGGTAAGAAAAGTTCAGCATTGGTTTGAACATTGCCACATTCTCCCAGTACTAACAAAAGTTAGCTTGAGTGTCACTACCATTGCTTTCTCCTTCAACTACCACTGCTGCCCAGTAGCTTTCTTGAAGAGGGTGGATGCATCTTAGTCTGATGTCTCAGCCATGACCATTCTGTCATGGGTGACTCTGCTAGGAGTCCAGGCTCATAATGGAGTGTGATTTCCTGACGGCATTGCTCTCAGCTTCACTGACACACTCAAACGCTTTCACCACATTAAGATGTGACCCAAGAAAGAGATGTCTGTCTGTCTGTCTGTCTGTCTGTCTGTCTGTCTGTCACTGACAATGTATAACACTACTCTAAGCAATTTACAAATAATAACAATGACCCCAAACATCAACAGATCAACAAAAGACAATTTTAAGTACACAAATGCAATAACTAAATAAGACCCGCAAGTGATGACGCACTATGGGAACACTTGTAAAATAATGTAAGGGATGATGCCCTAAAATGCTTCTCAAAACACTTGTGTCTCAAGCATCCTCTTAAAAGAAGGGAGGGAAGATGTCTGACAACCTCCACTAGGAACCCATTCCATAAGGTGGGAACCATGGCCGAGAACCACGATGCCTGATGACCATCTTCTTAGCCTCTCTCAGCACAGTGACTGGGAGAAGCAAGGCCTGTGAAGAACATTCTGAGGGAGAGACACTTCAACAAATATGTCATGTAGTCAATGGAAAACAATGCAAGTATGACTGTCCCAATCCTGGAGCAATTTCCATATTATTTGCCAAGGTAGTCATCTCCTAGGTAGAGAATCATTCTCAGGACTTGGAAAGTGACCATCCCAGGAGAACTGGAATAATCAGAAGCACTTAGGAATGTGAAATTGACAATTTGTCACCTAAAACAGGAGCTCAGTCTGGCATTAGTCCACTGTCTTGCAAACTTAGCTCCGAAAATACCCACAGCTCCGTTTCTGTGAACTTGAGCATAAGCACTTGGATTTAAAAGGCTGAGGGAAGAAATGGCAGAGCCAGCTGCCTCTGGAGTAGATCGAAGCTGTTGTTCCTTTGGCTTTCAATGAGTTGTTTTATCTCAGCACTCCAGCAGCAGAAGAGTGGAGAAGCCATGTCAAATGAGAAATAAAAATGAGTGATGCCTATAAAAGAGAGATATCATGAGAATCTGCCATTTGGGAATAATGAAAGGCACCGGCAGCTCGAGCCGATTAGGCAGCCTTACCAGAGGCCTGTCAGCTTCGATAACAAAGGCAGCCATCAATTCCTATGAAAATGGCAACAGTGTGAATTGGAAATTCTGAAGCACCATTTAAGGTTGAAATGAGATTTTCTTCTGCATGCATTTGTCTGTGTGTTCCCGCTTGCTTGAAAGGCACTGGACAAATCAGAAAGAAAATGCAGCTATCAAAGCATTGGGTGTGGCTTATTATTACTACTACTACTATTAATTATTACTCATGCCATCTTCATTATTTCCTCCCTGCTTTCTGGAAATAACATTTAAATGTTCAGCATATTTAGAGAACAAATGAACAAACCAGTGGTACTCAAACAAACCATTCAAAACCAAAGGAGAGTAATTTTCTTGAATAGCATCCATGTGAGTTACTAAAAGGGAGGGTTAAACCCCAGGTTTCCTCATCTGGTTGACAAGGAAAGAAGCCAGAAATTGTTTGCAAAATTATTGGACTTCCATTCAAAATCTCCAGGTCTGATGGTGGCTTGTGACTGCGGGAGATGGGTGCTCCCCCAAATTTGTGGGTGATGCACCCCTTCCAAATCCATGAGCCATCCCTGTCCAGGGCATTTTACAGTTAACTGTTAAAGCATAATGCTGTAATAGGGAATTTCAGCCTTCTGAGGGCATTCAAACTGGTGAGGCTGCGTCAACCAGCCCAACCTAATTCATTAAGCAGGAAGATATAATCATGTTTTGCTGAATGCGCTTACATTCAGTGTGTGACAATGCAGTCACTGGTCAGCAAATACAGAACAATTGCCAGGATGGAAAGTTTAGGGGTAGCAGAAGCAGAGCTGACCTGTATGGGCCCTCCATACCTACAGTTCTGAACACCCGCGCGATGTTTTAGCAGCACTATAGTTAAACTGAAATCAAGAGGATTTCAGTTTGTCATGATCACATTGTCCCAATGGAACCAGAGGATTACTGTGGATACAGCACAACAAACCACTTTACTACAATAAAAAGCAATATGAGAAACAATCAACAAAGGATTTTTAAAATATATGCATAAGGTTAAGAGACCAGGGACAAATTGTTATTGGCACAGAAAATATACATACACATCTTTTAGTAAATGTATTAAAATGAACATAATAATAAATAGTATCCTGTTTCCCTGAAAATAAGCCCTAACCTGAAAAAAGCCCTAGTATGATTTTTCAGGATGCTCATAATATAAGCCCTACCCTTAAAAAAAGCCTCAGTTAAGTGAAACCCTGCCCTCACCATTGTACGGCAACCAGAAGAAGATAACATGACTGTATTTGAATAAATTTAGTTTGTTGTACATGAAAATAAAATAAAAATAAAACATCCCCTGAAAATAAGCCCTAATGCATTTTTGGAGCAAAAATTAATATAAGACCCTGTCCCATTTTCAGGGAAACACAATAACTGAATGCCATTTGAATCCAGTTGTTGATACAACCAACCTACAGAACTGATCTACAGCACATACTGTAATTAGGAATGATCAATGGTTTAAATCCAATTATTAGCCCCAACTAAAGTAGATCTATTGAATCAATGGGATTTATATAAATGCTGACATGGGAGTTAGTCATTGGTTGAATGGGCCTATGGAATAGTAATTGGATTTAGGCCATTAATTAGTTACGTGCTGTCATATCAACTGTGGCTTGTGGTGACCCTTTCCAGGGTATCAGAGTACTCAGAAATGATTTACCATTCCCTTCCTCCAGGAGCACCCTTGGACCACACAGCTTGCCAAAGTCTACAAAGGCCAACTCTTCTCTTCTGAGGCTCAGTGAGGAACACCTAGCCCTTGATTCTACAGCCAGGTATTCCAACTCTCTGAGCTACCAAAAGAAAAAAAACTTGAATACAGCTGTGCTCCATTGGTCTCTCAAAATTCTTTACTCTATTTATATACAAACAAATTGCAGAGATATAATTTCCCCATTTTTTTCACCTATTTCATGAAACTCACCATTAACACTGGCTCTAGAACAATTTCTTTCTTTTTCCTGAGTTTATTGCCACACGGATTGGCACAGGGCAACATCAAGAATTGTGTTGACAGCCTGTCGGTCACTTGGTATTTTTCACAACACCCCAGACCTAGCACTGGGATGTTGTGTGGCTGACCAGGGAGAGTAGCTGCTATTTTTAAACGATGGGGAGAATATGGGAGTGCTTTTGTGCTTCAGGGATCAGGGAGAAAAATCTTACAATCTTACTCCAAACAGAGCACTGTCCCTTGTCTTTAAGTAAGGTGCTTCCAGGACCACTACATCCCAGCAAGCCCTGTAAGAGGTGGTGGTG